CCCGCCCGCCTCGGCGGATGCTGAGGGTCCTTGGCCATCATCCCGCGGCCCGCCCGCCCGCCCGCCTCGGCGGATGCTGAGGGTCCTTGGCCATCATCCCGCGCCGAGGGGACCCGGGGCCGCAGCCCGAGCCCGAGCCCGCGGCGGCCGTCAGAAGTTAAGGTAAGCGGGGCCACCGGCGGCCTCTCTCCGCGCTGAATGGGAGAGTGTGTGTCTCGGTGATTTATGGCTGCAGACTTAAATCTCGGTTCAAGAAGAGTTCACAAGCCGGAGCTTCCTCGCCGGCAGTGACTGATACCCTCACACTTCAGTTCAGGCCGCGCTCCCATCCCCGCCCCCACTCTCCCCTCTCCCCCAGCCCAGCCTCAACTTTTCTGGGTTGGGGAGAGAGGGAGGAGGAGTGGGGCTGGGAACGCGGGCTGCTACCTCGACGTCCCCTGGCAGACTCGGGCCAGGGCAGCTAAGGGAAGGCGAGGGTGCCGGGTGCGGAGAGGGAGGTGAATTTGGCCATACCTTGGGCAGAGACAACAGGGCCGGCTTCCTGTGCTCAGTTCAGCCTCCTCAAGTCGCTTCTGCTCCTGCACCTGGAGGTTACTGTCCAGGAAGAGATCCTTGCGGAGGAATCCCCCCTCCACCCCCAGCTCTTGCTTGGGGGGACAAAGCAAAGTTTCCTGGCTGGCAAACCTCCAACTTCTTCACTAGGTTGAAAACTTTGGGGGCTGGAGGGGGCGGGTTGTGTGGGCTCCAAGGTGATCGCGGACCTCAAACAATGGGATCTCTAAGTTGAATTCGGATTTTAAGTTTGCGGACGCTCCCTTATGCACTTGGATTTTGAAGATTTGTGTTGTTGTTATTTTAAAAGACAATATACAGTCTGATGAAAAGGCTCAACCGAGCACCAGGCTGGTATAGCCTGTGCTAATGATGGCTTAGAAAGTCACTAGAAATACTGCACGTTCAAAATCAACTTAATTTTGTTTTATCTAGTATCTTGCTGTTCAAATGTCTAGAGTAATCTTCTTAACCTGACGTTTTACCTTAATCAAACTTGGTATCTCAAAAATTTATAATGACAGGCATTAACACCGCCAAGTGTAATAGGAACTGTTTTCAGTGTAAGAACGAACGAAGTAGACATTAAATTGTAATTCACTTTAAAATTTTATTTTACCCTTTATTTACTTTCCATAGCGTTATCTGTAGCTTCCCAGACATTTCCAAAAGGGAAACAATACTCCAGGGTTCATGACCACGCACAATAACTCTGGATAAGTGCTGCTCTAATTCTTTATTGAGGTTCTGGAAAATTAATTGTGCTTGTTTTCCAGATGTTGATCAGATCGTTGGTTTAGTGATGAAATCAAAGGGAGTTCATTATTAAAAACAAAATTATAACCACCCATTGGTGGATGTTTCTTATATTATTATTTTTTTTCTGGTTGATATCTGCTATTTCTAGAAAAGTTAAATAACTCTGGGATTGAATAGCCATAGTTGGGGTTTGAAATGTAAAACATTATCTGCCTGGATTTGTCAGTAATTTTCTTAATGGTCAGAGGGACTAGCATTCTGAATGTGTGTGTGTGTGTGTGTGTGTGTGTGTGTGTGTACATGTAAGACTCACAAGGAACTTTTCTTGCTGAGAACTAGAAGTTTACCATACAAGAGTTGAAAACCAAGAGAACACAGATTTCACTTCTACAAACTGCTTTCTAAATAAAAGAGATGTGAAGTTGCTTTTTAGGTTTCTCTTTACTTATAGTGTTTCTGAAGGCAGAAGATAAACCAAATAACAAATATGATCAACAACAGTACACAAAGATCAGGGAAGTCTGGCAGGAGTTTATGGTCTGTGCTTCCATGCCTCCTCTGGAGTCAAATGACCCCCATACATCAAATTGCATAGCAGTTTCTAAGACAGAACCTATTATCGTTAAGTTGGAAGGAGAGTTCAAGCCGTGGTCATGGAGATGAACGCTGGTTTTTCAGGTTCCTGGTGGGTTGTTTTTTTCTCTAATCCATCATGTTTTAACAGGTAGAATTTGATAGTTGCCCAGAATAACAGCACCTCAGAAAGTCCAAGCCAGGAAAGTCTGGGAACCTCCTGTAACTTGGAAAAAGAGGTTGGGGTGGCTTGTTTCAAAGTGCCTGAAAAATAGGGTGGGAGAAAGGGTCTAGAAAGTTACAGGATTTGAGTTGTGACTTGTGGGTGGGGTGGTGGTGTTAGTCGTTCCTAACACTCCCCACCCCCAATAGAGAGAGAGAGAGAGAGAGAGGAGTTCCACCCAAATTTTTCTCTCGCACCCACCCACTTTTTGACCTCACAGGGTTCATTTGGAGGAGGTCGGTCCTCTTCACTGAACTAAAGCAGACTTACTGCCTCACAGGCTCAGCTTCTGAAGTCCATCATGGTCTGATAGGACAGTTGCTTCTGTGTGTGTGTGTGTGTGTGTGTGTGTGTGTGTGTGTGTGTGTGCAAACCTCCTTTGAGAGCTCCAGGAAAAGGCAGGCTAGGAAGGAAGTCTGACTATCTTAGGTCTTTGGGGCAAATATAAATCCTAAAGTGGGGATTGGAGGGAAAAAAAATGTCGACCCATTGCCCTCTTGAGAGTTCCCCCAAGATCTCGAGAGAGCCTCGGCCTCTACAAAGGGACATCACAGCTTCTTCTGGAAAAGAAAGACCCCAACCTAGCCTCCAAAGCCTTCCTCACTTTGGACCTGGACTCCAGAGACCCAGCTCCCAGCCCTTGCTGGTTCTGCTCCTCTCCGCGGAAAAGCCCCCAACTCCAGACACAAGTTAAGCAAATATTTGTAGCTGCCAGTAAATTCCAGCAGCTTTTTATAGCGCAGCTCCCTGCGCCCGGGGCCACGTCGTGCTGCTAAATATTGCTGACCACTTTTTCTTTTATGGCTTTCATGTCACTTAGCTATTGAGAGTAAGATGGATTTGCGCGGAGCCCTCACGGCGCTGCACTTCTCCCCCCCACCCCACCCCTCAGGTCTGCGCGCGGCGGCCATTGGCGGCGGAGCGTCACGTGACCGCGGGGGCGTGCCAATGTGCTCCCTTACGGGTGTCAAGCCCCTGTCAGAGTGTGCGAGCACGATCGTGAAACATCGCGATGCAAAAAGCGACCTACTACGACAGCTCGGCGATCTACGGTGGCTACCCCTACCAGGCAGCCAATGGCTTCGCTTACAGTGCCAGTCAGCAGCCGTACGCGCCGTCTGCGGCTCTGGGCACCGATGGTGGCGTTGAGTACCACCGACCCGCCTGCTCCCTCCAGTCCCCCGCCAGCTCTGGGGGCCACCCCAAAGCTCACGAGCTGAGCGAAGCGTGTCTGCGCACCCTGAGTGGCCCTCCTAGCCAGCCCCCAGGCCTGGGGGATCCGCCTTTGCCTCCACCTCCTCCCCAGGCGGCGCCCCCGGCCCCACAGCCTCCCCAGCCCCCACCCCAGCCCCCTGCGCCCACCCCTGCAGCTCCCCCGCCTCCCTCGTCTGTCTCCCCCCCTCAAAGTGCCAACAGCAACCCTACCCCCGCCAGCACAGCCAAGAGCCCCCTCCTCAACTCTCCCACGGTGGGCAAACAAATCTTTCCCTGGATGAAGGAGTCGAGGCAGAACACTAAGCAGAAACCCAGCGGCTCCAGTTCAGGTAATGGGTGCCTTCTGGAGGCGGGGCCCATGGCCCAGCTCCCTCAGCCACCTCCAGCTACCAGCACAGCCTAGGAGCAGAGAAAATGTATCCCCCCACACTCTTCCCCACACAGACAAGGAGAAAAAGGTTTCCAGAATCTTTGCTACTTAGGGAGGTGATAAGGTTTCTGTGACAAGGATGCCCCAGACATAAACCTGACTCAAGTCCCTCTGGACCTCTCCAGGGCAGGCTGAGCCTGGTGAAGTGATTGGAATCTTTCCTGGTTCCACTGTTGGGAGTTGTGACCTCTAGGCAGAACCACCCTGAGGGCCCCTGTCTCTCCAAGCAAAGCTCTCTTCTAAGCAAACAGTGGCATCCTCCCCATACAGAAATGGGGCAGAATAAAAGCAGGCCTAATCATCACCCGAGTCAGAATCAATGCTTTGTCTATGATCAGAGCCAGGCTTTGCTGCAGCAGATGGAGGCGGCCTTACCTCTGGGAAGGCCTTGCTCAGTCTTAGCACAATGAAGGAGGCAGCCGCCATCTCCGGGGGGAGGGGATTCAGCTTATCACCCTAATGGGAACCACATGGGGCTTTGGGAACTGGACTCCAGTGGAGGAGCCTCAGCCCTGAGGCCTTGGGCGTCCAAGTCTCCTGGTTACCTTGGTCCCTCCCTCTCCCCTGAGCCTGAGTATCTGGAACATCCAGAGCCAGTATTGGGAGAGCCAAGAAAGACAGGAGGCACAAACGTGAGGGGCCGAATTGGGCAGCCTGCTTGATGACGTTTAAGACCCCTAATGACCAGGACTCCTCAAGGGCCTGGGCCTCCCTACCAGGACTAGACAGCTTCAGTGAGGTCTGGTCTGCCTGGGTCAGAGAAGGTCTTCCAGTTTGACCTCAGCACTCTGCCCAGCTCCTGTTGGTAGATTTTAAAACTGGTTCGTTGCAGCTAATGGCTGATCACTCTCAATCACACAGGGAGGATGAAAGGCCTTCGTGCGTATTCTAGATCTCTCCCATTTCAGCAACTGAAGGCGCGAAGACACCTGCCCACAGGAGGCTTCTTGTCTGATGGGCCAGTAAATAAGCCAGCCAAGTAAAGGGTTAGAGAGGAAGTGCAGGCCAGAGCGGCAAGCAGGAGGCTCGCTCGGCGGCTGGCTCGGTCCTTCCCTCGAAAAGCCCATGATTCTCTCCTTAGCCGGAAGGAAGGGCAAGCTAACCGGGCCGTTTCCGCACACCAAGAGGACTTGGGGCGGCGTGGACGTCCTGCTCCTCTCTGGTCGTGGGGTGAAGAAAGGAGGGGCTAGGCTAGCGCTGGGGAGCTGGGCGGGGTCGCCAGCAGCCCCTGACACGGCTCTTCCTCTCTGTCCCGGCAGGGGAGAGCTGCGCCGGCGACAAGAGCCCGCCGGGCCAAGCGGCGTCCAAGCGGGCGCGCACGGCCTACACCAGCGCGCAGCTGGTGGAGCTGGAGAAGGAATTCCACTTCAACCGCTACCTGTGCCGGCCGCGCCGCGTGGAGATGGCCAACCTGCTGAACCTCACCGAGCGCCAGATCAAGATCTGGTTCCAGAACCGCCGCATGAAGTACAAGAAGGACCAGAAGGGCAAGGGCATGCTGACCTCGTCGGGGGGCCAGTCCCCAAGTCGCAGTCCCGTGCCTCCCGGCGCAGGAGGCTATCTGAACTCTATGCATTCGCTCGTCAACAGTGTCCCGTACGAGCCCCAGTCGCCCCCTCCCTTCTCCAAGCCCCCCCAAGGCGCCTACGGGTTGCCCCCGGCCTCCTACCCCGCTCCCCTGCCCAGCTGCGCACCCCCACCTCCCCCCCAGAAGCGTTATGCAGCGGCGGGGTCAGGCGCAGGGGGCACCCCTGACTACGACCCGCACGCTCACAGCCTGCAGGGCAGCGGCAGCTATGGGACCCCACACTTACAGGGAAGCCCCGTCTTCGTGGGGGGCAGCTATGTGGAGCCCATGAGCAACTCGGGGCCAGCCCTCTTTGGCCTAACTCACCTCCCCCACACCACCTCGTCTGCCATGGACTACGGGGGCACTGGGCCGCTGGGCAGCGGTCACCACCATGGGCCGGGGCCTGGGGAGCCGCACCCCACCTACACGGACCTTACTGCCCACCACGCTTCTCAGGGAAGAATTCAGGAAGCGCCCAAGCTCACACACCTGTGATAGGCTCGGGCTGCGAGCCAGGAGAGTTGCCCTCCCCACCTCCTTTTGGTTCTTTTTCCTTAAACATTTTTTTTTTTTATTGTTTTATGTTCTTCCTGCCTCTCCCTTTTTCTCCTCTGCACCCCTCCCTTATTTCGTTGCCTTTGGTAATGCGTTTTTATGGTTTATGTGACGTAGCAATCTTGGTTGCTGGAAAGGCTGTCAGTATCAGTAGTGACATTTACACCCCCACCCCCACCCCGGCCCAGGCCTCTGGCCCTGCACCCTTACCTTCTCTACTCGTTGATAAGAAACAGGGTATATGAACAAACTTTCTAGTTGAGTTTTCAATGTGAATTTGTTTGTACGTTATGGCTCCCGAGAGGAAGCGATTGCGGTTTTGTTTTTATTTTTTTATTTTTAAGTTTTAGTTTTTAAAATTGCACTTCTTGTAATGAGCGAGAAAAAGAAATCAAAGGCGCTTTGGAACAGGGGCTCCCTGCGCAAAAATGACTAAGTGTACGTCTTTCCGTGTGTGTATGCTTGTGAACAGTCAGATTTATTTATATTTTTTGCAAGCATTGAATAGTCTAAGTTTTAAATATTATTTATCCCCATCCGTTCGTATTTATATTAAAGAAATTCTGTACCCTGATTGTTCAGAAGGTTTCTGGAGCCTTTTGTTCAATGGTGTATTGGCATACATAAAAAAATTTATTTGAAAGGGAAATAAAATTCCTTTATAAAAACCGTAGCGATGCAATAAGAACAGAGACGACCCAGCGTTTGAAAACCGTGGTTTAGGTTTGTAACATCCGGCAAAACTGAACGCTAAAAATACTAGATTTGTTTTGAGAGTTTTACATTCCTTGCTGCTCACATTCTGAGAAACAAAACAAAACAAAAAAAAAATAAAGTTTTTATTCTGATTAAGATCTGTGTCAAAAGGGTGTCTTTGGCTGAAGAAGGGGCTCAGCGTGGAGTACCGGCAGAAGCGAGCGAGCGAGCGAGCGGGTAGCGGCTGCGGCAGCCCCGCGACTCCGGCGTGCGGCCTGGCTCGGCGGCGGCGGCGGAGGCGGTGGCGTGTGGCCTGGAAGCTCAGCGAGTTCAGGAGCCAGAGGCCGTGGTTTCGGGAGGCCGCCGCAGCTCGGGAAGTGTCGTCCTCCGGGTCGGCTGGGCAGCCTGGTTCCCAGCTGCCGCCCAAGCAGGCGGAGGGCGCCTGGCAGCGAAGTGCGGGCCCGGGCCGGCGTGGAAGAAACAAAGGCCGCAGGCCGGCGGCGCGGCGGGGGGCGCACAGGTGCGGGGCGATGCGCACCGAGAACCCGGAGCTCCTCTCCGCTCCCCCGCACCGGCCATCGCCTCAACCTTGGGAATCTCCCAGGGTCTTGAGCTCGTCCCACAAGCTATCACATTCCACGTCTCCATCGCGGATGCTTTGTGGTTCATTATCGCTCCTGGAGAAGGGAGGAAAAAAAAGGGGGGGGGTCTCCTAAATTCAGCTCCAAAGGGACTGCTGCTCCTTCTGGTCTCCAGCAAAAGAACTGAGCTCCAGAGAGTCCTCCAGGCCTTCCTTGGACTGGAAGGAACCCCTTCCATGAATCTCAGCATCAACTTCCTCCCGGAATTCAGCATTTGCCATTCTGTGGATTTATTTCCTCTCTTTTTATGGCCCCAGGGGGAGGAGGAGAGAGAAAGGAGATTGGTATCTTTCTAATAAAAATGCAATTGTACAAGTGCTTCCTTCATTTGCTGCTACACAAGCTTAATATTACATTTCCACGTTTGGATTTAAGATAGGACGCAGGCTGACCGGCTGGCAGAGTCAAAGGCAGACACAGGAAAAGGGAAACATTTCCATCTTCAAGGTAAAGAATTACAGATTCAAGAAGCCAAATTCAGAAAATACAAGCCTCAGAGCTGCACCTCATCATCAACCCCCCAGAGCTGGAGGTGAACAGCCTGTGTCTGGGAATTAGGAGGATCTGAGCCCCCATTCTCCTTGGATTGTATCTTTCAGAGGCAGAAGTGAAAAATGTCGCCATTTTGTTTGCAACCTCAAATATCTATCATCATGGCCTCTGCCCACCCACCACCCCAGCACCCTAAGAAACTCCTTAGAAGCTAGCACTGGAGTCATCTCTGGGTACCTGCTGAGTCTCAGAGAGCAGCTTTAAGGGACCCTTTCCATGTTTTAGGAAAAAGAAAAATCTCGGAGGATACAAAACCAGGCCGCTGCAGAAACCTCGGAGTCTCACGCAGAAGGCGCTCTGCCCACGTCTATCCTCCAGCTCTTGGCTCATAGTCTCTTTTCAAAGATTTTGGCCTGTGGGGAAGTGGATTTGCTCCCCACCCCACCCCCAACCTCTCTACCGAAATATGATGCACACATCAGAAATGCAAAGGCTGGAAAACCAGTCTTTGTGAGGACTGGAGCCTTTTGGTTGTTGATGTGGTTCAGATACAGTAGTCTTTTTAATGTAAGCATTTTAAAACATGCACAAAATTACCTGGGAAGCATCAAAAGGAAGAGGTGTGTGTGGGGTCTCCACCTGAAACCCCTTCAGAGGTATCAGCATTTGAACCCATTCCTAACATCTTCCCTTTAAGGCAAGAATGGATTGGGGGGTTTCCTTCTTCCCTCAGGGAAATTCTAATACTATTTCCCATATCTTGCCAGTCAAGGCATTTATTTTGGCTAGCAAAGAAAAAAAATCCATCTCATCCTCAGCTTTATCAAAATATCTCCAGAGTTAAAATAATAGATTGGGGGAAGATCTGAATGCTGCTGGGCCATCTTAGAAAAGGGTTTTCTTCCAGATGGCGTTTGAATTAAGGCAGCTGAGAGAGGCAAAGCTCTCTCTCACCCACGCACCCTGACAAAGCCCAGCGGTGTGGGTAGCTGCTTTCTAACTTTCTGACCCTGTCCCTCAATACTTTCTGGTAAAAGCAAATGCCCAAAGCCACCACCCTCCGACCCGGCAAAGCACCTTCCCTAAAAGCTGCCTTGGAGTTCTCTCCACTGCCCCAAACCCATCTTTAAAAAGACAAATTGTCCTTGTTTACTTGCGTCTCCTGCTCTCCTCCTTGCTCGGCCACATTTGAGCTTGGAAAAAGCTTGAAGCTGAAATGTGTTCTTAGGGGCCAGAAGCTGTCAAGGCTTTTGGTGAGCAAGATTGATCACACCCAGACTTCCTTCAGAGCTTTGTTTGGAATAAAAGCAAGAAAAACGGGAAAACCTTACATTTTCCAAAATAGCATCTCTATCTGCAAGGCAGTGCTCTGGGCTGGTCAAGGTTGAAGACCACTTTATAGTTCCTTTCCAACCCAAACCCCTCAGATGCTGGCCTCAGAGACGAAGTTCTGCCCTTGTTCCTTGGTTGGCCTTTCTTGTTTCCTGCATAGAATTTTCTCCCCCACCAACCTCTCTCTCCTTGGCCATCAGAATGATTTATTTTCCTGCCACTGATGCCTGCCGGCCTGGGGCACCCTGATCACTTGGTCCATTTCAAAGGAAGAAAAAAAAAAAAATGAATCGCCATCCTTAGGGTTTGTGGGAGAGAAGGTACCTTTAGCAGTCTCTCTCTCTCTCTCTCTCTCTCTCTCTCTCTCTCTCTCTCTCTCTCCTTTCTGGTTTGGTGATTTTTTTTCTTTTAAGTTCTTGCTTGGTACCTAAAGGTGTTATCTTTTGAATCCTTCAGCACTGTCCAGCACTCAATCTGAAGTCCTGTCTCAGAACTGGAGGAAAAAGGATGAAGGAGAAGTTGAAGAGATGTAACTCCTCCTTGAGTCGCCCTCTCCCCCCGCAATGCTGTTTCCCACAACAGAACCGGGGTGCAAATCTCCCTGGTGCCCCAAGAGCCGGAAGGTGTGGGAGGCAATTCAGGCTGCCAAGAAACACTCGCTGCATCTGAACCAACCAGTCCCCAACCAGAGCGACCAGTACTCGAAGAAGAATAAGAGGGAGAAGAGAGCGAGGAACAAGAGTCCTCTCCCTCCCTGCTGATAAGTTCCAGCAGCCTTCCTGGAAATCGGAAATACTCACCGCACCCGAGCCCTACGGGTATGAAACCCAGAGTGCCAGGAGCCGCACGAGTCTGCTCGGGGCGGCATTTCTTTGGCTGGCCGCCGCCCAGGCTACGGGGATTTGGACACAAGGACCTGGGGCTGCTGTCTCTCTTGGCTCATGCCTCTATCTTTTCCCAGCCATGCCTGAGAAGTTGATGGCGTAGGAAGGAAGATCGGCGAGCTTCGAGAGTCGCCTCTCGTTTTCCGCTGCCCGCAGGAGCCAGATGCAAAGCTACCGTGGAAAAGCAGCTAACAATGGCCGGGCCGGGGGCGCAGATCCCAGGCTGGACATTGAGAGGAGGAGAGGGGCTGCGAGGGAGGAGAGGCGGACAGGGCAGAGTGGGGTGGGGGAAGGAGAGAGGAAAAAGAGGAAAAGGGAAAGGAGAGAGGGAGGGAGGGAGGAAGGGAAGGGGGAAAGAGAGGGAGGGAGGGAGGGAGAGAGAGAGAGAGAGAGAGAGAGAGAGAGAGAGAGAGAGAGAGAATGAATATGTGAATCGATTCTGAGATCCAGAAAGTGATTTTAGGAAAAGTAGAGGAGAAGGAAAAGGAAAGGGGAACCCCCAATATCCTCTCTCTCTCTCTCTCTCTCTCTCTCTCTCTCTCTCTCTCTCTCTTCCTCCCTCCCTCCTTCTGCTCTTTTCTCTTGCCTTAGCAGAACTTATGTGGCTGGGATGCAGGGCCCTCGGGTGTCAAAACTTTGAAGATTAATGGATTACTTTGTTAATGACTGCAGGCGTCAGGCTGAGGTGCTTAAATGATTTGTGAGGTGCGAGGCGTCTTCCCGACAGTCCCAAACAATGCGCGGAGTGTGCGGGGGAGGCAGAGGGCAGCCGCTGGCGGGACCGGCAGCAGGGCTCACACGCACACACTCACACACACTCCAGGGAGCACACTAGATCTCACAGATCAGGAGGCAAACAGGCACTCTGGCCCCCACGCACTCCGGGGCATTCCCATCCACACCCACATATATGTATTTTTGCCCTGAAAAAAGTGTAAATAAAGCCTCGATGGCCCCCAATGAGGCGTTCCTTTCTGACTTTTTTGGATCAATCAAACAGACAGTGGCTTCTTTTGATTAAAGCCCAAATTGTCATTGGGCAGAAGCAATCATGTGACAGCCAATTCGGTCCAATTTCAACCTTGTCTCCATGAATTCAATAGTTTAATAGTAGCGCGGTCCCCATACGGCTGTAATCAGTGAATTAGAAAAAAAACACCCTAGCAGCGATCTTCTATGATAGATTTTTTTTTTCCTCCGCGCTCGCCTTTTTCTTGGGCCTTGCCCCCCCAAAGCCCCTCCAAAAGAGGGAACTTTTTCTCCGAGGGGGCTCCAAGGAGAAGGCCATGAATTACGAATTTGAGCGAGAGATTGGTTTTATCAATAGCCAGCCGTCGCTCGCTGAGTGCCTGACATCTTTTCCCCCTGTCGCTGATACATTTCAAAGTTCATCAATCAAGACCTCGACGCTTTCACACTCGACACTGATTCCTCCTCCTTTTGAGCAGACCATTCCCAGCCTGAACCCGGGCAGTCACCCTCGCCACGGCGCTGGCGGCCGCCCCAAGTCGAGCCCCGCGGGCAGTCGCGGCAGTCCGGTGCCCGCCGGCGCCCTGCAGCCGCCCGAGTACCCCTGGATGAAGGAGAAGAAGGCAGCCAAGAAAACCGCGCTGCCGCCGGCCGCCGCCTCCACGGGCCCTGCCTGCCTCGGCCACAAAGGTCAGTCCCGAGACTTGGCCCAGGGTCCCGGGGACCCTCGTCCCCCTGCGGGCTTCCCAGAGAGCGGTTATGGGGGAGGGGGCCATGGGCTTCCAGGGAAGAGGGAGAGAGGGAGAGGTGCCTGGTGGCGGGTCCCCTGCCCCTGTGGGCTCAGGAGTGTGGGTTTGATGGAGGAGAAAATAGATCCTGAGCTCCACAATGAGACATATATATTTTGAGGAGGGGGGGACTTTCCCTAACTTGTGTAATGTAGGATGATTTATTTGAGTTGGAACTGACCTCCTCTTGTCTAGTTGTCCTAGAGTTTGGCTTTTTGACAGTAATGAAGAGTGATAGACCGCTCTTGCTCAGCTAAGCAGCTGATGCATTAATTATAAATTGTGTTGTAGCTAATATAAAGTTTGCTCCCGGATGAAGAGGTTGGGGGGAGCCACAGTCAGGATTTGATGGAGGTGGAGGAGATTGGGCTTCCCCGGGGCTGGGCTCCCAGGAAAGGCAGCACAATAGCCGCTCTGCATCCAGGGGCGGCCATTTTGTTGCGTTGATCTCTTCTGCTGTATTTATTCTCCAGTGGAATAACCCTGCTCAGACCCCTCCACCTTCAACTGTACGTGTGTCTCTTGTTGGTTTCCCTTCCCGCAGAGTCCCTGGAAATAGCCGATGGCAGCGGCGGGGGATCCAGGCGCCTGAGAACCGCTTACACCAACACTCAGCTTTTGGAGCTGGAAAAGGAATTTCATTTCAACAAGTACCTTTGCAGACCCCGGAGGGTGGAAATCGCCGCGCTGCTGGATTTGACTGAGAGACAAGTGAAAGTGTGGTTTCAGAACCGGAGGATGAAGCACAAGAGGCAGACCCAGTGCAAGGAGAACCAAAACAGCGAAGGGAAATTTAAAAGCCTGGAGGACTCCGAGAAAGCGGAGGAGGACGAGGAAGAGAAGTCCCTCTTTGAGCAAGCCCTCAGCGTCTCCGGGGCCCTTCTGGAGAGGGAAGGGTACACTTTTCAGCAAAATGCGCTCTCGCAACAGCAGGCTCCCAACGGACACAATGGCGACTCCCAAACTTTCCCAGTTTCGCCTTTAACCAGCAATGAGAAAAATTTGAAACATTTTCAGCACCAGTCACCCACTGTTCCTAACTGCTTGTCAACAATGGGCCAGAACTGTGGAGCTGGCCTAAACAATGACAGTCCCGAGGCCCTCGAGGTCCCCTCTTTGCAGGACTTCAATGTTTTCTCTACAGATTCCTGCCTGCAGCTTTCAGATGCACTGTCGCCCAGCTTGCCAGGCTCCCTGGACAGCCCCGTAGATATTTCAGCTGACAGCTTTGACTTTTTTACAGACACACTCACCACAATCGACCTACAGCATCTGAATTACTAAGAACATTAAAGCCAAACAAAGCATCCCAACACAAAACCCCCTGTGACCAGGTGGTTTTGCCTTCTTTCATTCCGGGAGTTAATTTTTGTTTTATTCTCTTCTTGATCTACCCCTACTCTCTTAAATGTTGAGGATTTTCTGTTTGATGTTCTCCCCTGACACAGTTTTAAAGCCATCTCTTACAAATTATGTCGGAGTT